CGGAGCATGCGCAGAGGCCGCCACGGCCGCTACCGCCACCGCCGCCGCCTGGCCGGGCTTCAACACTTCCGGCCGCCGCCGCCAGCGAGCGGCTCCTTAAAGGGGACGCGTCCCTATTGCCGGCCCGCTGGAGGACTAACCTGAGCCGCGGGATTGGGGCCTTTACCTGAGCGGGGAGTGCCCTGGAAAGTCAGTGTTGGAAAGAGCTCTAAACTCCCAATAACTCTACTTCCTCCGCTTCGTGGATGAGGAAAATGTGGCCCAATAGATTCACTTCACCCTCAGTCAGGGGCAAAGGCAGGTCTCGTGGCTCACGGAGTCCCTTTTCCCTGTCCAAATCCTGTTTCAGGAAACTTACATCTTGTCCCACCTTCCTAAATTAGTACCCAACTGTCGATTTGAATCAAAAGACCTGGCTGCGCGGAGGCAGTAACTGGTCAATTCCTTGAGCAAGCTGCTGCCATTCTCTGATCTCGTTTGTTTGCCAAGCCTTTTGGTGGCGAGGTTCTGAGTTCCAGTAGTAACTTCCGTGGGGGGTTATTTAACAGCTCTAAGCCCCTGTTTCTCGCCTCGAGCTTGATGTTGTATTAGAAGAGGTGGTACAGGAAAGTGTTCGGGAAAGTTCCTGGAACCATTTAATAATCATCGGCAAAGTCCTTCTATGGTCAGACCTTAAGGAAGATGGTTTTGTGTCTACAACTAAGGCGACCCTCTATGTAGCTTATTTTCATGGGTTAAAAAAAAGGGGGGGGAGAAAAATTAACTAATCCCACAACAGCACATAACCTCTAGCTAGATTTAAACCGAGCCCCACCTTTGTCCAGTGTCCATGGTTATAACTAATGGGATGGTGGGCATTGTTACCAAGAACTAGAGGGGAGCAATCGGAGAGGAGAGTTGCTTCCTCACCTTAGCTCCTCCTATGAGTCAAGTCCCTGCTCCCTACTCTGTGGTGAAGAAGGGGCAGGAAGTTCTCTTGGTTCAAGGACAGGCCAGAGTAAACAATGAGCTGGAGGGGGGTGGAGGGAGCCTACAACTTGGATTCCAGGCTGGCACTGGCGCTGGAGGATGTTGGCCAAGGCACACTTCCTTTAAGCCTTGCTTTTCTCAGTTTGTAAATAGAGATGATTCTCCCATTGTGCCTCCTCTTAGGGATGTTTCCAGGATGAAACCAGGAGAGTCAATACTCATGTAATGTTCAGATAATTCTGAATATAATGGCTGCGGGTCAAAATTGGACTGGACATATGTGAATTATTCTACAGTGAGAGCATCATAGCTTTCAGTTACACATCATACACTGAATTCGTCCCCAAACCCTGTTGCTGCTTTGAAGAAGCTCTCCATTTCTTCAGAATTATAAATATTTAGGACAGTGCTTTTGTTATTATTTTTATTGGAGTAAGATTGCATTTTATAAGCTTCAGTTATACATCCTTGTAATGTTTGTACCGCATAAGACTTACAACTACATGTCTAATTCTATCCTTTACCAGAAATTTATCCCTTTTACCCAGTTGACCCACACCTCTCCCCCTTCCCTTCTGATAACCACTAATTTGGCCTTACAGTCTAAAGGTTTCGTTTTGTTTCATTTAGCTCATTTGTTTGTTCTTTTCCTTATGTGCCACATATGAGTAAAATTATACGATGTTTGCTTTTCTCCATCTGTTTTATTTCACTAAATACAATACCTCTAGGTCCATCCCTGTCATTGCAGATGGCAAAATTGCACCTTCTTTATAGCTAAGTAATATTCCTTTGTGTAGATATACCACATCTTCTTGATAGGTGTTATCTTAGAGACACAAAACACTGAAAAAATGCAGAGGGTTCCAGAAAGTCTTTATAGACTTTGAGCTTGTTCTGACAGCATGAGTAGGAATTCATAAAGGGAAAAGTGGGAAAGAACATTCCAAAAGAACAACATCTACAAAGTTGAAGGGGAATGATGGGCAGTGGGACTGAAGAGGGTGGCCGGAAGCAAGCACTAATCATGAGGAGTAAGGAGGTATCCTGCAGGGTGGCAGGAACCATTGAAAAGTTTTGAAGTTCTCTCAACTCAACTGCTCTGCTAACTCCAGCCCACAGGACTTCCTGGACCCCTGAAGAATTTGCTAGTACTTAGTGATCCTGTCCACCCCAACCCAAAATGTTATGTACCCTAATCCCTTATAACTAGTAAATTTTTTAAGATTTATTTATGCATACACAATTGGGGTACAGGGCCAGAGGTGCAGGGGGTGAGAGGAGAGACAGAGACATAGTGGAGAGCAGAACAGGCTGATTAACCAAGTACACTGCTGAGGGGAGCAGCGGGTGAGACAGGAGAGGTCTGCCGCGCCATGT